ACCTCTATTCTAAGGAAATGATGACAACACTCTAGTGATAATGAATTGATTTTTAAAAATAAAGTTGTCCAAATTTTGTTAATGTTGAACTGGCATGTCAGTGTTCTCAAATGCTTTATATCTGCTCTTACAATGTGCCTGTTTTGCATGAATAAGTTGGTATGATCAGCAGCCTGTTTACTTGTAGGTGGCATTGTATCTGAGCCTTTCAGCTGATGCCCACAATTAGAATGTCTTAGTAATAATCATTGCAAATTCAGGTGAAGTCTGGGCTGACTTTTCATCCCCACTCTGTGCTCGGGCTGACCCTAGTGCCATCCCACTGGACTTACTTAATTTGACACACAATATAGAACTTCAGCCGTGTGAGTCATTTGCAACGCTGCCTCTGCCTTTACCTTTGCATGAGTTGCACCTAGATATTTTTGACTTGAGCTGAGTTTAATTCCCCAAGGTCTCCCGATTGGGACCAAAGAAAAAGAATTGGGCGTTGACACATGTTTAGAATTTGAAGTGTGGTGTATGCTGTAAATGCATTGTTTTCAGGTCTGATTTTTGAACGTAAGTTCATATAATCTTGCGGGAGGACAAATGAACATCTGTTAGGATCAGTCAGGGTATACGTTCTGTCCAGCCTGAGCTGCACAAGTCTAGAAAGCAGCTCAAGTTGAAGGTTCAATGCTTTTTTAGCATTGGCACTAATGTTTTTGAATTGGAAGCAAGTACTGTTTGAATCTCAGAATTTTTCTACAAATCAGTGGAATTGTGTAAGTAATATTTATCTTGAGCAAGGCTCAGAATTGTGAATTGTAAGTTGAACATGAAATCATCGCTGGGAAATGAGCACTTTCCTCATATAGAGATGTGTTTTGTTTTAGGGGATGGCCTAATGAGATATTAACAGCTGCGTAACCCTGGGATCTCTGATACTAAAAGCATATTGTCTTCAGAAACCAAGTGGTCCCTTGTCAGCAGTGCGTGTTGCAAATATGAGTGGTGCAGAGAGTGGTATAGTGCAAGTTTGAATTCTAGGAAGACATGAACAAGTATATTTCATACCTGTTGAGCAACCAAAATTATGGTAACTGCCTATAAATCTAATTTTATACTTTGGAAAGGAATAGTGTATGGCGTTTTTCTGTGAGTAAATTGTTCTCTAGGTAGATAACGCTTAAAATATTGTGGAGTGCAAATGTTCAGATATATCAGAATGTGTTGTAATTTTTGTACAAATTTGTGCTTTTCTAGTGTAAATACTTGCTTCATATGGAAAATACTGTATTTGTTTCTATCTTAATGTAGCCCTGCAAGGAATTTTACTGTTTAGCTTGGAAATTGGTGCATTTAAGATAAAATGCTTGATTCATTATGCTAAAAAATACATTCAACTGTTGACGCATTCAAATAAGACTAGTAGTTATCTTTTATTAAGGAGTAGTTTGTTGTGTACAGGCTTGTGTATTGCACAGTATAGGTATAACTGCTTCTGATTATTGCTTCATTACGTCTTTATTTAGAGCACATAGTTCATTTTATTCTTTCATGTTCAATGTAACTAACAATTTGTCACTAGGTTATTTAGAAAACAATAACAAAATATTGACATGTCCAACTTTGCTCAATGTACGGATTATAAATGTGCAGACTTAGATTTTGAATGCCTGACATTCAGTGCCACGGAAATAGGATTCACATGAAACATTTTCTGTTCTAAAATGCACTTTTTAATGATGATATTAATCTGACCCTTTTTTTGTTTTTTGGAAGTATGCAAATGTTAGGTGGGAACAGGATTCGACTTTGCTGTGATGCTGGTTGCCCCCTTGCCCCTGCTGAGATAGGTACCAGAAATCTGACATTACTGGCAAAGCCACACCTTAGTGCTTATAAATAACTTAAAAACAATTGAGAATTCGAGTTTGATTTTTCTGTCCAACCTCCAAAAATAGAATCGTATTACTGTGTCATTATATTAATGCTGTTGAGATCTTCCAACTCTGCATGGTTGGAAATTTGAACATCTTGTAAGTTATAGTTTATACAAAGAACTTTGTGTCTGCAGAAATTCTGCATTGCTTTTCCTCTGAAATAAATTAATTCTTCAGTTGAACTAAAGAACCTGAGGATGCATCGATATTGTTGACTCTACATCAGCTTAAAATTCTCCATAAAATGTGCTGTGAGGTTTACAGAGCAGCTTTTCCTGGACTCTTTGCACAATACCTTTTTTTGTCAATCCATGAAAAGTTGATTATTGTAGCTTTTCTCTCCCATGTAACTCAACAACAATTGTGAATTTCCTTGATTTAAGATAGTTTATTCACCACAGCCACATAGATTGAAAAATAATGGTGTGGGTAGACCTTTGGTCACCAAGTATTCATCCTATCTCTGGGCTAACCTGTTTGTTATAATGTTCTTTCCTTGAAGTTATTATGAGAATTTAGGAGAAATTGTCAATATTTTAGCAAAGTTAAGATTCTAAAAGAGTTGCATTAAAGCAGCAGTGACACTTTTCAATCATATTTATGCCATCATAGTTCTTTGTGATATGCCTCTCTTGAGTGATATGCTCCTAGAAAACAATGTCTGTGACTTCACAAATCTGAAATTTTTTTTATATTTTAGAAGGCAACTTCTCAAAGATATAAACATGATAAATACATAGCTAGTATTGTTGTAGAGCTAAAAACTCAACTCCAGAAATGTGGTGACTATGTTGATGACATTTGAGAAAAATTGTTAGTGGTTTAATCAGTTTCTCAGAAACTCTTAGCTTCCAGGCACTAGACGTACAGGAAGAATGAAATAAAATCATAGCTTGTCTTAGCTTCTGATGGTATTGAAGCAGAAACTGTTTGGCATGTTTTCAAAATGTGACTGTCTGCAATCTGTTTCTGTTTGATTTAACTGATTTGTCTATATGTAAAACAGTTCAGCGACAAAAAGATTGACTGACAGGTGTAGTAATACAGGAGCTTTTTTTTGAAAGGCGTCTGTTACTGCTAGACTGCTTAGTAAGTCACTCAAGATTGGCATTTGGCAGTGCTGTATGGCCTGTTACAGATCAATAAAGAAAACATTCTTTATGAAAATATGCTTTTTTAAAAAAAATGGAAAATTAATTATTTTCTAGGAACCTGAATATATCTCCCTCTTAGTATAGGATCTTTAACTTCAAAAAATGGATGTTGGAAATCTGAAACAAAATACTGTAGGTACTTGGATCATACAGGATCTGTGGGAAGAGGAACAGCGATCATATTACAAGGTTGATGACCTTGTAATTATCTCTAAATCTGTTTTAATAAATTATTATCAAATCATTGATAATTGCAAGAACAAAAACAGAAGTTGCTAGAAAAGCTCAGCAGGTCTGACAGCATCTGTGAAGGAAAAAGACAGAGTTAACATTTCGGTTCTGGTGACCCTTCTTCAGAAGGGTTCCTGATTTACAGCATCTGCAGTTCTTTCAGTTTTTTTATTGATAATTGCAGTCTGTGCCTTTTGTGTTGCGTTTCATTTATACCAAGAGTTCAGATGGAGTGCTTAGCAGTTTAATTGATACTAGTACCTGATGTAAAGAAAATTGTTAGGGAACTAAAAGCTTTTTGGAAAGTCCCTACAATAAAATATGTAGGCAGTCTTCGAAAATTGATATATTTTAAGTTTCAGTTTAAGTTTGTATCAGAGTGAAGATAGTTGAGCTTGAAATAAAACTTGGTTTCAGGTCAAGATTCACTAGTATATTGCTAACTTGTAACTGCAGCAACCTGCTCACCTCTCGTCGATATCTGGATCAGAATGTTACATTAGCTAACAAAGAAGGCAATTTTTAATGGCTATCCTGTCTTAGAACAGAGGTGAGATATACAAACTAAGAGTTACTTTGTCATGCCCTTTCCAGAAGAGAGGAACAGGAGTAGATCTTCCAGCGCCTTGAGCCTTCTCTGCCGTATTAAATTGTAGCTGATCATTTGTCTCCAACCCCACTCTGTTACCCAAAACACCTGATGTCGTTAGTAACTAGAAATCCATCAATCTTCGTCTTTCTGTGCTGACAATGGGGGTGCAAAAAAGCTCCTAAGCTTTTATCAATGGTACTTTGGAAGCACTGATGATATCTCTGTGTGCCTCCCATTAAATTAAGATTTTGGTTCTGTTTTGCTTCTCAGTAGAGAATTATCTAGCTGTTGGGGTCAGTTAGCTCAGTTGGCTGGATGGCTGGTTGGAACTGGCTGAGTGATGCTAATTCCTGTATCAGCTGAGGTTACCATGAAGGACTTTCTTTCTTAACCACCCTCCTGTGAGGTACGGTGGTCCTCATGTTAAGCCATTCCCAATCGTGTCTCTCTGATGAGAGATTCACCCTATGGTATGGTAGGACTATGGTGACTTTGGTAGCAAAACAAAGATAATGTGTACCCCTGAGGCAGTCACTCCCAGACTTTGGCAATTTATTGAACAGAATTAGGATTGTTTGAGCAAAGGAAAAGTTTAAGGGAAGAAATCACACAATATTTTACATTTTACTACGCTGAACCAGAATCGCAATTAGCTGATGAATGCTGTGAACTGAAGAGGAAACCTTTTGAAGCTACTGCTTGTGATTTTCACCCACTACATTTTCACTCAGTATTCTGTTCCTACCTAGTTCAGTTTTCAACAGGCTCGTTTTAAGTGATTGGATTCCTAAACCAAACACAAAGGGTTCTGACTTTTCACCAAATATACTCGTTTCCATTTTCTTCATGCCATTCTCATTCATTCGTTTATTCTAACTTATGTCATCATATTTTTTGCTTTGGAGAAAAGGAAAGTGAAAGAAATAGTAAGTACTTCACCATGATAAAATGATCTTTGCATTCATTTTATTCTCATTGATTTATTCTGGTGCTACTTTGGTAGGATTAAATTGTATTTATAGGAGACTAATTTCAGTTTTGTAAATATATTTGAAATCTTAATATTTACAGTACTTTAATGTTGTCTTTCTTTAGAACATGGTTATGATCCTTATAATCCTGAGCTTCCTAAGGGTTCATCAAGAAATGGAGATGGGATATCAAGTGAATTTACAGAATCCAGCTCCAGTACGCTCGAATTGGAACTGGTCAACAAAGCCATTGAGGTTGTCAAGAATGAAGTTGAACAAGAGCAGAAAAGGCTGTTGCATTATGAGGATCTTTTGGATACTGAAGAGGAATATGTCCCTTCAACGCCATCTACACAGAAGGCACTTGGCAAGAACAAGAATTGCACAGAGCTTTTACCTATTGAGGATGAGCTGACAAACTCTTTAGAATATAATCCAGACAGTTATGGTCTAAATAGCAATGTAGAGTACACCCCTACTCCACTTTCAGTTACTGCTTGTTTCAGTAAGTATACTTTGGACACAGACGATGAAGCTGATGCAAAAGGTAATTCATTAAAATATGTTCCAACGCTCTTGAATAAGCCAGTCAAATATTCTACCTCTGTACCCAGTAATAAATATGTAATTGACAACACCAAGCCATGCACTGATTTAGAGTATGATCCTTTGTTAAATTATTCAGCACGGCTAATGAACAAAAAAAGGACAAAAGAACCTGGAACCAAGAGGCCCAGCGAGAACAGCTCAGAAGATTCCTATACACCTGCAGGAAAGAAGCGTTGCCATCGCTTGAACTCCAAGATCTGTGATGAGGAGATGGAGTTTTCAGACTCAAGAAGCAAACTTAATGATAACTATCCGCAAAGTCTTGGGGACACTTCAAAGTTTCAAAATGCTGTGCTTTGTGACACCAAATCTGATGAAGGATTTCCTTCAAAGGCTAAAGATTTGAATAAACGATCAATGAAAGAGATTGCGGTTCAGTATGATGTAGGTGATGTTTGCTGTTTTGAAAACAAACGACACGAGAATAGAGAAAAACAAAAATTAAAGTCCAGTAGACATTCAGCTAAGGTTTCAAGAGTTAATAAAGACAAACTCAAAGGACAAGAGCATAAGGATAAAAAGAGTAAAGGTGGTGACCTGAATGGCTCAAAGCTGAAGGCATGCAATGACAAAGTGGGCAGCACGAAAATCAAATCTTCCCACCACGCAGAGAAAAATAACAAAAAGGAGAAAATAACTTTTGAAAAAGAAATAAAGCGAGAAAAACAAGGGGAGACATTTAGACACAAAGAAAGGAATGGGGATAATTCAGTTGTTGAAAAGAAACAGAAAGGAGATGACAAAAGCAAGACCAAAGAAGAAAAGCAAAAGTTTAAAAATGGAAATTCTGATAGAAAAGTGGATAAATCAAAAATGTGCAAATCAGATGAGGTAAGAGGTGAAAACAGATCAAAATCTAGATCGAACAGTTCATTAGATAGTGCGGGAAAAATCAAATGCCATGGAGTTAAGATCACAAGTATCCAGAAGTCTGACAAAAATAATGGCAACTCAAAATCTAAAGCATTGATGCATAAAAATGGGATTCATGTTAGTAGCAAAAGAAAAGAGGAGATCAAGGAGTCAAAATCTATGAAAGTTAAGACAAAACATCCAGAAAAAAAAGAGAAAGCATGCTTAACGAAGCGAACACTCAGTCATACTGACTTGTTTGGTGATGACAGTAGTGATGAAGAAAGTACCAATAAACCTGCCGCTGCCATGTCTTGTGAATTAGATTCAGACTCTGACCGAGATCTCTCTGCTAGCACCAGTTCTAGTGATAATGAAAAGGGAGAAAGTTGTGTGCAACACTCCATACCTTCAGAAGATGAAGATGAAATTGATTTCCCTGGTCTTGAAAAGGAGTTTGAATTTGAATCTGATCCTATGGAGGAATGTCTAAGGATTTTCAATGAGTCTAAAGAAGTAAAGAATGAAGATAAAGGCCGAGTTTCCAAGCAGGTAAGAATCAAATTGTGTTCTTAATTTTGAAATATTTCACTTTACTTGGAGCCAAGTGTTTGACTTGTGTTTTGATTATTTTTAAAATATGGGCAACTTTCTCTTTTCCTTGATGTTGAACTTGATGCCCACTGTAACTGACAGCATAGGTTTGCCCTCATTTTGTGCAGATTTTTTTTTTACACTATGCATAATTTTAGGATTGCAATGCTTGCATGGCATCTCATTGTGTGTGGTCTGTTGGTCCTTGTGTGGTGCATTGCTGCATTACATACCTATCCAGTTTAAAGGAGATTTTGCTCAGACAGATATATAATTATTACTTCTGAGCAGTGCAATGAAGTATGCATGAATGTAACCAGGTCCAGATTTTATTGGACTGACTGACTTTTTTGAATCTCATTTTTTCAGTGCAGTGCATGTGATGTGGCTGAGATCCCAGCACTGCTGCTATACCAGCCTAATGTACCAATCTATTTTCTATCCTTCCATATTAAAAGTGGGTAGGTCTATTTGTCACACTCTTGTCTTTTTGTTCCACACTCAACTGAGTAGTAAGGGATGAAATGGATGTCTGAATTTTCTTGCTTAATTTCTAGGGGGTGAACACTTGGCCTTTTAAATGCAGTGTGTCCTCAGATTCACCGTGAGTACCATTGCAAATAATTCCAAAGTAATAGTAAATATCACAGAAACATTATATACGCGTGCCTTTTCTGTCTGTCAGATTTTCACATAACCAAATGTATTGCCATTCATTCACATACAACTTCTCTTTAGCATTCAGAAAGTAAACTGGTCAAATCAATATTTTTTAAACTGCATTTTTCTCTTGACCAGTCAGTTCTATTTTACGTAAGGTATCTTTAAACATTTGCTAAAATAAAGCTTAAAAATTTTTTTTGAGGGAGTGGTTTAGTGGTTAGCACTGCTGCCTCTCAGCGCCAGAGCCCTAGGCTCAGTTCCACCCTGGGTGACTGTCTGTGTGTGGAATTTGCACATTCTCCATATGTCTGTGTGCGTTTCCTCAGCCTGCTCCAGTTTCCTCCCACAGTCCAAATGTGTGCGGGCTAGGTGGATTAGCCATGGGGAATGCAGGTTTACAGGTATAGGGGCCTGGGTCAGATGCTCTTCAGAGGATCGGTGTGGACTTAATGGGCCAAATGGCCTGTTTTCTATTAATTCAATGAGTCTAGTCTATGATTCTTTCTCACATTTCTCAATTTTGTTTGCTTGTGAGTCTGTTCAGATCGCTTTTTTCCGAGACTTATTCTGTAACAGAAAAATGGAGATTGGGCTGTTCTTTTACTTAGAGTCGAGGGGTTTTTTTCTCCAGAGGATGGTGAATGTGTGGAATACCTTACCACAGAAGGCTGTCGAGCCTGGGTTGTTAAGTATATAGAAGGCTGAGATGGATTTCTAATCATTAAGGAATCAAAAGTTATGGTGATAAGACAGGAAAATTGATTTTGAAGTTTACCAGATCAACTATGATCACATTTATCAACAGAGTGATCTTGATGGATCATATGACCTACCTCTATACCTATGTTTTATTGCCTCATAATATGTACAGTTTCTGAGGCAGAATTTGTTGTAGACTCAATTCATCTAGGCAATCATGCTTAACAAAGGTAATCGAAACCGGGGTCATGATTTGCAGCCTGATCACCAGTTAAGCTTCGACTTTTACTTGAGCACAATTAGAGTCTGACCCTGGCATATTGTCACCTTGTATCATGTAATGCAGAATGCATTATTCTGCTGCCAAGGTACTGATAACTGATTTATTGTATATGATATCACCTGAAGATGCAGGAACAATTATCACATACATATACAGTACAATCCAGTCACCTACTTCTGGTCTCTTAGATTGGTTGCTGATATTGATTTCTAAATGTTTGTATGAAAAAACAAGTAAAAACAGTTGTTCAAAATGATGTTTCCATGCAGGTCAAATCTGCAATGGCTAGTCATGGGTTTGCTTCAGTTAGCGGTTGAATAAAGCTTAATCTGTAAAGGTCAGTGGATAGTCCACACTGATCTATTCCATCCTGTTGCAAGTCTTCTCTTTGTAAATGGCTAGCACCATGACAATTTCCAGTCAGTTGCTCTTAATTTTTAACTTAAGTCTGGTTTTTCGTTTTCTCTCGTAAGACATTTTGATTAACAAGCTATTTAATGGATGGTTTTTATTCCGTCACAAGGTCTCACTTCTGTCTATGAAAATGATGAAGAAAAGCATTAGACCTTCTTCTCAATCAGCACTTAAGATTTCAAATGCAATGTATTAATGTTATGTTTACAATAGAAAGATTTTTAAAAATCTGAATCTTTGAGTAGGTTAAAAAAAGGAATTTAATACAAAGCTATTTGATAACATTTCAAAATGCAATCTTTTCAAGCTTACACTCTTATCTATGCTTATTGATTTTGCTCCCCTTTAATATGCTGTTTGAAAGCTCGTTTATCGCACTTTACAGCATGTGTATTAAGATAAGCTGATATCAATTTGAGCTACATCCATTTTCATCAATTGCTTGCATCTATGACTACAAAGTTTTTAAGTGAATCTCACTATGTAAAATTAGACAAAATACATAATTTTGTTAGTAAGTTTCATAAGCAAATTTTAGTCAAAATCTAGTTTTCCTATCTGGTTTAGCCTTTATTTCTCAAATGTATGTGACTAGTGAGATTAACATTTACAAGCACTCACCAGGTTGTTAATGGATTCCATTCTTGAGTCCATTCACAAGCCGATTTGCAAACAAGTCCGAACACAATTCAGGATAATGTAAAGCAACTGTTATTAAGTACAGGAAATATTTGTATGTCAGGTCTTTAAAATTGCACCCCTGAATGGGATCACATTTGTAAGTACAAGCGTTCATAAGATGGACTTTTATAATTGGGGGAGCTTTTTTATTGCTTATTATTTTCTTGAGAAAGATGGTTCACCACCATCTTGAAACACTACACTTCATATGCTGAAGGCGCTTCTGCAATCCTTTGGGGTTTGCTGTTACAGAATCTTACACCATCCTGACTTTTGTCATTGAGTTATGACTTGGAATAGGATTTGGAGATGAGTGTTCATATGCACCGCTGTAGCACTTTTCCTTCTAAATGTTGCATGTCATGGGTTTAGGAGGTGTTACCAAAGAAACTTGGATATGCTGCAGCATGTGTTGTAACCATCATACTCCAATAGTTAAGACAGTTCATGGGGTTCTGATCAAGCAAACTGGTTTGTCCTGAATTATATTGAACTTGTGTTGTTGTAAGTACATCCAACCAGGAAAATGGAAAATTTTCCATTAAACAATTGACTTGCACCTTAGGGAAAGGGAGGCTTTAGGTAGCTGGGAGGTGAGTTAGTCACCAACAGAATATAAAATCTCTGACCCGCTCTTGTGGCCGGATCACTTGAATGACTGACTAGAGACTAAAATAGACCAATGATGCCACCCAGAATGTCGGTGGTGGGGACCTGAGATGGTTAGGCCATTGAATGTCATGGGGTGGTTGTCATGCACTTGGTGTGTACGGTCCATCTGATTTTTGTGTGGTGAGAATGTTACTTGCCATTTACTAAGTGTAGGCTGCAATATTGTCGAAATTATCCTGATGTTTTTCAGAGGTATTCAGTAATCATTGTTGCTCTGAGTGTCTCTAGCTCCTCACAAGTTGAAGTTGGGTCTTTGAGGAGATGCAGTAAAATTATAGCAAGTTATTTTTGTTTTTATTCCCACCCCCTCCCCGAAGGAGTTTTTGCTCTATGCTTGCGACTCCATTGTTCTATAATTGGTAATTAAGCTGAAGCAAGAGGCTGTCTGTAACAGGCCATCTTGAGTGTTTCCATAGATGTTGTAGTGTAATGGATTTTCTTAAAATAAAACTTTATGATATGCAAGTTCTGTCAGCATTCAGTTGATGCTTAATTTTTGACAAATGTGCATTTTAAAAATAACATTATATTTAACGTGTAATCTGGTTTGCCATTTTCTATTCCGAATAATTCTGACTGGAGGTTTATGGGCTGTTTTTTTTTTAATATATCCTGCTGTGGTTCAGCAAAATGTTGCTTCCGCAGCAGAAGAGAGAAATAACAGAAGTTAGTAGTATACCTGATAAATGAAGGCAAAATAAAATGTTGTTACTTCATTTTATTGGTCCATATTTTCATTTTGCACTTGCCACTTGTCTATAGCTGAAACTGTGACTTTGCTAAAAGGAAACAAAAAGTTAAACTTTTCCTCTTGCACTCATTGGGACTTAGGCACAAGCAATAGACTTGAGGTTGGGAGGGGAGCCAATTTATATAGCATATTAAAAGCATGCTGATTGTTTGTGCTGTCATTGCTATGGAGATGCAGCAGGAGCATTTAACAGTCAATCTTCGTTCTCAGACCAGTCACTCTGACTGACTGGTTAGAGTGTTGCCAAGGGAATTCAGCAGAGCTTGGCAGTCTCCATGGCATTCCTTCTCTCTCTCTCTACACCGCCCCGCCCCCCACAACCACCAACGACAAAAGTAGATGTATGAATGCCTTTTGCCTGTATGAAACAATTAACTGTTTCTGGCAAATTTCCTTCTCTAAAGGATGTCAATGGACGAAATGGATTTTCACAACCGGCAGTGATGGTTTTATGGTGACCATTACTAGATATTGTAGAAGTGTTTTGTGAAGTGTTGAAGGGCAATATTTCCGTGATTTTCAAATTTGTACTATGCATTTTTTTTGTTTCTTTTTGAAGGTGTCTGTGGAAAGTAATGAAGGAAAAGAATCCAGTCTAACCACACTTTTCCCAGGGCAGAAAAGGAGAATTTCACACATTTCAAAGCAAGAAAACGTAAGTGGAACATAAAAGTGTGCCATCTTGTTTCTCAATTCAGCTGACTTTATGTGGCTTTTCACTTTGTGCTAGATTTGCTGTTTCAAATAACACTAAAGAATACATTGCGAAAATCTACAAGAGCAATTATATTTGCTTCTCACATATCCATATGTGCATTACATAATGTTTTTGTTGAGAAGCATTAATTCTTTAGTAAAAGTACTTATTATATTATGCAGTAGTTGCGAATGTTCCCTGTTTCTAAATTAGTTGACCGTAAAAATGCAGAGTACTGTGGATGCTAGAAATAAGTGGAAGCTACTGGAGAAACTCAGCAGGGCTGGAAGCATCTGTGGAGAGAGAAACAGGACGCTGATCATTACATTATTTGTGAACAATGCAATTTTGAACTGCCCTTAATAGCTTAAAGAAAAGGTAGACTAGACTGGTACTGATCAACTTAGATCAGGATAACATTTGATTCAGCTGTTACTTTGTGCATAGTTTTGTGATCCTTCATTAGTAGTGACTAGATCATTACAATTGCCTCTGATCCCTGGTTCCGTAAAGGAAAATTGACCACTGATTGGAAGTGTGTGAATGAGGTTATTAAGTAAGAAATTGTTGAACTGAGCACTGATAGCCTTCAATTATGATATATCAAAGTTTCCACTTCCTTTGGTAGCTTATCCCACTACAAATACTATCTTCAGGAAACGGACAAGGAAAGAATGTTGAAGATGGAAAGAAAAATGCACTGCCTTTAGTATTCAGCCATAAGTGAATTTAGCAAAATTTCTGCATGCATTAAATAATCTTAACTTGCTGCTTCAGAATCAAATTTGAGCATTCAGCATACTCATGGTTTATTGTGACAACAAAGCCATATCTAAAATTAAATGTTTGAAATTGTCAGTTTATCTGTGCCACTACAAACAGAGCACGAGTCATATATATAAATGTAATTCAACACGACTAATATATGGAACAGCCATATATTAGAATGAAACTATTGGAACATTTGGAAATATTATCCAGCTTTAAACTTTGTTAAAGTTTAGATTGTAAAAAAGTGCAAGTTAACCTCTGAATATTTTTAATGTGTTTACTACTTGAGCATTGTACATGGTACACTTTATTTTCGGCATCTAGTATTCTTAGTGAAAAATATCAAAGGAACTTCCTTAAACTTCAACTTCAGAAGATTCAACTAGCTTAATCTGTCTGAGTGATATTAGTTAGTCTAGATTTGTAGGTCCATGTCAACTGGAATTGGTTTAATTTTAGTTATCAGGCTCACCCTTTCACCAATTGGATGCAAATTGTATTAGTCCTGGCTAGATTTGGATCTTGGATGTTTGCTGCATTTATTGTACATTCATCGTTACGCCATTCGCTATTTCCTCGGTATAGCTAAGCAACTTGAGAAAAACATTAAGATTCAAGAAGGATTTTGGACATCTGCAAGCTGGACCAGGTAACGAGCAATATTTCTACTGTGGAAGTTAGTGATTACTACTTTGAATTCAATTTCACAATTTTGGAGAAAGATATAGCAGAATATGTAAATGGAGTTACTTTTTAATGTATTTTAGGAAGCTTGTGTAGAGCATAGACACTGCAATTGAAATACTAGACTGATCAGTCTGTTGTAAATACAATGTGTGTTATCATAGTGAATTAGAATTTATTTGAAAAGTTATTGTATTAGCACAATGGATTTTGACAGGTTTGAATCAAGTTTTGCTCTCTAACTTGAGTTTCGGCTTCAACGTTTTATACAAAATGTGATTGCAATTTTTTACTTTAGCGGGGAAAGGAACATAGTGATAATACAAATGCATATGACAATAACATTTATTTTTCTTTAGGTAGAGCCAGCCAAGCCAATCATCCGTCCTTTTCGTAGACTTACTGCCCAAGAGGTTTGTTACCAGCGGAGTTTGATGGCACAGCAGCAAGCGGCACAGCTGGCAGAAGTGGAAAAAGTAGTTAATACACCTTTCAGCAATCGAGGGGAGAAGAGACGAATTGCACATAAACCAAAAGCAGATGTTATGCCCTCGGCAAAACAACGTAGGCATTCCTTTCTATTTTTGTATAGCACCGCATGCAACTGCTTTTATTCAATAGTATTTGTAACTCCCTAGAGTAATTTTGTGACCATGCTCCCCTTACTTCCAATCTGTGACCAATTTGCTGTTCTGTGTCTCTGATCCTGCATTAATATCCTTTCATTGTTGACCAAATTGGTATTGTACATTTTCTCTCCTTTACTTGCTGTCCAGTCAAGAATGGCAACAAATGCAAATATGTAGTAGGGTTATGCCAAACAGTAGGTGAAAGGTTCGATTAGATTTCTTGGCTTGACAATTTTTTGCAATCAGGAATGCATTATGTGAAGAATAGGAAATGAACTTTTTGGAAACTCTGGTATACTACATTGCAGCATACCTGAAACTTGTCTTCGAATTTAGATGATGCATTAACGCCACATTGCTAATTGAAAAACTATAATTGATCTTTATTCATCCGGTCATTGTTAGTTCTGAAAGTGCAGTATTTTTTTTCTCTTTACATGGTTGAATCGCTGATGCCTGAAGTAACTAATTTAAGGAAATACTTCCAAATGGTAGTAAAAAGCTGGAATTGTTTTCCCTTACTTCAAACTCGATTATGTGACAATTTCAAGACTCAAATCGATAGATTTTTGTTAGGGAAAGGTACAGGAACAGCGTACTCTGTCTGTGACCCTCAATATATTTGTCAAACAAAAAAGATAAAGTTATAACACAGATGAACAATGAGATAATTGAACGACAGGACAGTCTTGAGAAATTAAATAGCACACTGAACTTCAGATCTTATTTTCCTTGCTGTGGTTGTCATCAGTGTCTAGGTATTTTGACAAAGCAACCATTCTTTACCGAAGAGCCTGGACTGTTTTACCAAGGGGAATTTTGTATTTGATGTCCTTGCACAATGCACACTTTTTGTAATTAGTAGTGCAAATTTATTGAGGGCCGGAGGTCTGGTGCCTAACTTTTTCACAATTTTGTGGTGCCAAAACCAATTTAGGATCACTGTCTGCATCTTTTTTGGTGTCAAATAATTCAATGCAATTAAAGGACACACCTTTGACTTTCATTGTAATGCATTTGTTGCCATACAAGTGCTTATGCTGTTAAGTGTTGTGTACTTCTAAAGGTACAATTGCAAGCTTTAATTTATTATCCTATGTGGTAATATATGGATATATATTACATTGTTGAATTGTCAAACTTTTAGTAATTTGTTCTTTGTATTTCAGCTCCAATAAAATTGAAGATGGAATCTTTAAGTAGAACAGTACCATCTCCGAATTGTCCAAGGAGCAGCAGCCTCAATTTAAAATGTCAAACTACTGCTGGTATGGCATCAAAAACTGTATCCACTGCAGCACAGAAGAGGATAGCTCATGCTCCCACTTTGAAGGTAAACTTCCACATGCCTTAATACAAATGGAAGCTGGAGGGTCCAGAATAGTCATGTAAGTTTTTTTCCTCACTGTTATTCCTGATTCAGGTTCTGTTGCAGAAATTCCCTGCAGCAGGATACTATCTTAGATGCTAAGTGGTTGTCTCTCCTTATAGGGAGAATCTAGAACCAGAGAGCATAATCTCGGAGTAAGGGGCCACCCAGTTAAGAGACGAAGAAATTCATCCTCATCTTTCACACATTCTTTGCCACAGAGGGTGGCTCATTAAGTATATTTAAGGTTGAGTCAGGCATTTTTTTTTAACTCATTTTGGAATTGAGGGTTGTGCTGAAAAGGCATGAATGTTGAATTAAGGATTATCAGATCAGCTCTGATCACATTGAATGATGGAGCATGCTTGATGGGCTGGATGGCTTACATCTGATGTTGCTTGTTACTGCAGTCAGTTTGATTAGCTTTCTGGTTTCTTTTCAAGTTCTGCTTTGGGGTCTCATTCCATTGCCAGCAGTGCTGTGTTACTTTCTGCCTTGCCTCTCCTGTGTGTCATGCAGCAAGCTCCATTTGCCACAAGCTACCTTGCTTTGTTTTCATTCCTCATAACGCATAACATTACCTTTCACGGTGCAGTGGAAGTTTTTTGTGTGCCATCTGATTTAAACTTTTTTTGCCATTGTACTGAGTTGTACCATAGAAAGATAAGAGTGTTAAAATCCGTTATCTCAAGTGAACCAGGACAGTTGTCTGATCTCAAACAAAAACAAAAACAGAAATTGCTGGAAAAGCTCAGCAGGTCTGGCAGCATCTATGAAGAGAAATCAGGGTTAGTGACCCTTCCTCAGAACGGGTCTGATCTCCTGTATCCAAATATTCAAGGAAGAATCTGCATATACTTTAGAAAACAAAACTAAAATAAATGATTCCCAGCTAACAGCCCCTGAGAATTTACATGCTTTGGGAAGATTTTTTTCAAAAGAAAGATCCTAACGCAAATGCTGCCAGAAATGCTACCTTTTTTTTTGTTTATATTTCAGATTCAGAAAATGTGCAATATTTTGATTTTGTACTGTTATTAATATCTATGCTGTCTACTGCAGCTGCCTGCTGCTGCTTCTGAAACTGATCCCTTGAATCTTGCCCATTCTCGGTGCCTGTTGGCTGTGGGTGGTATTCTTCAATTTTGTGAACTAAAGATGATGTGTCAGGAAAAATACTGTTTTGAATATTTCAACAATGTGGTTATGATAAATCAGAAATTTGATTTTTAGAAATAACTTCTTTCTACTTTCAAGACAACTAATCATGCATTGTAATTTTGATTTACGTTGAAAGTATTTACTTTCATATAATGTTACTGCATTCCATTCAGAATTAGAACTAAACACCTGCAAAAATATTGCAAATTGTTGCTGGCAATGCTTTGAGTTTATGCAGTCGTCAGTACTCTGAACATTGCATAGCAGTCTTGGTAAACACGCACAGTTGTTGTTTTGTATGTTTATAGGGTGCATCCACCTGTGATAAGATGGTGTGCACTTTCTTCCACTGGCACGAGTATTCAGTTTTTCCATTTAAATTTGTACTTTGCACTGCCTTATGCAGTGATATTGTTACTGTCATTTGAATAAAGAGAACAAAACTTGAAACTTGAAATTTTAAGCTTTATTAAAACATGAAAAAGGAGAGTAAAAATAGCTAAATGTTTAGACCCATTTTACTTTGAACTATAGCCTTGAATTGTTGGACAGCTGATGTCAAATATTTTCTGAAAGTAAGGAGACGCTGTTGAGAACGTATACTTGTGGCATTAACTGTCATATCTTTTCTTTTGAGTCATAAATTTAGTTTGCACTTGGAGAGTTAAGAGATGTGTGTAAGTTTTATAGTGCAGTGTTTACACAAGACAACCTTTTATTTGCATCAAAATAATAATCTGTCTGATAAGTTCATAAGTCTAAATCTGTTGTACAGATGAAGACAAGCATAGGAATGGAATAAAACCAACATTTTTTCCTGTTTTTTTTAACTGTTTCCCCCCAAAAACAAGTCAAGCTTGAAGAGACCCACAATTCCAACAGAATATGGCTCCAAAGTTCCAACAAATGTGAGACAGCGATATTTGAATGTCTTCATTGATGAATGTCTGAAATTCTGTGGGTCCGAAGAAATAGCCTATGAAAAGGTGCGAGATTAGATATCTATTGTTGAAATCGTTATCAAGCAAATGCATGCCAATCATTATAATGAAGCCTCCTAAGAATGAAATGAAATTGTTAAAAACAACACCTTTTAAAAGAGCACATGCCAGACGAGTTTACGTAAATGTGCAAGTTTTAATCTGGAACTGCTCTTTGAATTTCTGCTAAATTATAACACTGTTATTTAATTTCTCTTTGATCTCATAAAATATAAACTGCAAATGTTGAAAATGAGCCTTGCTCAAACAGTGGCTGAAATGAGAAAAATGATAAAATGTGTAAAAATCCATTACAATTTGCGTTTATCTAGCAACTTTTAAAGTAGTAATATGGCCCAAGGTGCTTTACAAAGGAGAAAGAGCACTGACCCATAAAAAGAGAATTAGGAAAAATGACTTAAAATTTGGCTTGTAAGAAGGTTTTTAACAATGTAAAGTGAAGAAAGCAGAAAATTTAGTAAAGTTTCAATGAACAAGTCCAAAGTGATTGAAGACTTTGTCACCAGTTGGATAATAGAAAGCTACAGTCTAAGGGCCAAGTAATTAAGGAGACTGGAGAAGTTGAGAAATTTTAAGATAAAGGAAGAATTTTAAATTTTGTTTCTTTGGGCAGCATTTTTAATACTTGCAAAGTGTTCTGTTGTTCTACTTATTGTTAAAGTAAAATTGCTGCTTAATAAGAGAAATTTGTTAATTTTGGTTTTGAAAATAACCTGCTACATTTGTAATGTACGTCTCAGACTTACTGTAATTAATGTCAACTGAATAAATGCAGATTAATCTTGCTGTGGTACAGTGTGGGACCCCTGCTAGCTTTCCAACATGGATATATTTGTATAGTTGTGTAGTTAATAAGATATGCCTGACAGCTGTGATATTTCCATTTCAATGTTGCAGGCTTTAAGTGAAGAGAAGATGGTATATAACCGAAGTACCAGTAGAACAGTATATTTGAATGTTGCTGTAAATACATTGAAGAAGTTGAGGAGTCAAAGTGATGTCATTCCGTCACCTACAAAGAGTATGTTTTAAAATGATATTTATCAATTTGTTTACCTTAAGGCTATACTTTTTTTCTTACTTGTGCTCTCCCTTGACTTCTTGAAGACATTGACTGTTTAGTAAGGCATGGCATCCCTGACTCTAACTGGTAACTTGCCCAAGTATCAGATTACATCAGAGTATCTACAATAAGATCCTTGGTCTTTCTTAAATATCAGAGGAGTTTATAAAAGAATCCTATTCAAAAGTTTATATAATTTGTATTTCAACTTAGAGATGAAGTTTTAGAAGTGTGAAATGCATAGGGTTAAGAAACTGTACATCAATTGAAACAAAAACAGAAATTGTTGGAGAAACTCAGCAGGTATGGCAGCATCTGTGGAGAGAAAGCAGAGTTAACATTTCAGGTCTAGTGATCCTGCTTCAGAGCAAGTTTCTGCACATCGGTAGAGTTGAAAATGTAACAAAATAACATAACTCAGAATGAGATGCCTATTTTTGATACAAACATTGCTTCATGCTGCAGTTACAACAAAGAAAATGAGTGGAAAGAAAACCAGAAAAACATTTCATAATTGTGTATTGAGGGTCCTAGGTGCAGTTTGTTTTCATTTGGATGTCACTCATTACAGACTGAGTACTCTGAAAGCACTGATTAATTCTCTTTTCATTATTGACTGTATATTCATTCAGACACGGTTGCCGTAAGCACAAGCAAGAAAGTCCAGTCGCATGAAACATTGCTTGGGGGAATGTTGGCTATGAAGACAAGTTTCACACTCAATAGATCTGGGAAGCAACAAGATGTTGAACTGACAGGTGGGTGAAGTTTTTTTAAAATATTTGGTGCCTACCATGATCTATATGATCATTCATTTAAGTTGGAACTTGCCATTGATGTGATAAGATAGTGGATTGGAACTTACATAATGTTGTGCTCTGGATCTCAGCAGAATGTATTGCTGAATTTTGCCATGGGCGGTATTGAAAGACGAGAAGAAATTGATAAGCAAGCTAAATCTGGCCAGTATCAAAGCAGTACGGGCAGAAGACAACAGCAGGCACCTATCTGCCCCATGGACATGTTGCATTTTACTCTAAAATTTAACAATTGAAAAGGACATTTAGGATGAAACAGAAAGGCTGTCATCTAGATTGTGTTCAGTCATAAACTAATCTAATGTTGCTGCAAGCTAATCTTAAACCTTGGATTTTGATTGCAGTCTTGCTAACTGACTTAATTATCATGCTTCAGTTTCTCATGGAATCTGAACTTGCAAGTTGAGTCTGCACTTTCGTTGTCATAAAATAAATTTTTAAAAACCCATTTATCTAATGGTTGTATTGCAGCCTGGTTACTAAGTAATGAAAGGAAAATAAAAGCTTCTGAAGTAAGGAAATGAACTGAGATGATGAGATCATTTCTGATGTACGAGTTGTAATCACAAAATATGCTTGTATGCAACAAATAGGTACTTGAAAATGTTTGCTGAATTTCACTTCTTCTGGTTTCCCATTTTTAAATATTTACACGGAAACAACTATCATTTTCTTTCCTGAATACTTCTGTTTTCCTTGCTTCAGTCACGTCCTCCTCTCTGAACAGTCTGATTATTGGGGTTTTATTGAATAAATGCCAGCCCGTATCCATGCTGTGTCCTGTTTAAGTGTGATTCTAACTCTCTGACTGTTGCTAGGCTCTTTTTTTCCGATAGAATCTTGCATTTTGGACTGATTCTGTCACATGTGATGTTTGCGGAATCAATTATTGGATAGTTCTCAAGGGTAAACCAAAATACTTCTGCCTATATTAGAAAAGGGAGTAGAACAAGGTTATCCACAATGCAGGTAGAGGCATATGTTCCAGTTACACCTTTGATAGGTGGCAACATTCTAAATCCAACTTTTTGGGTGTGCACTAGAGAAGGAATGAAAGCTAATGGTGATTCTCGGTGATGGCAAAGATGCAATCCTTATCAATTGTTAAATTTTAGAGTAAAATGCAACATGTCCATGGGGCAGATAGGTGCCTGCTGTTGTCTTCTGCCCGTGCTGCTTTGATACTGGCCAGATTTAGCTTGCTTATCAATTTCTTCTCGTCTTTCAATACCGCCCATGGCAAAATTCAGCAATACATTCTGCTGAGATCCAGAGCACAACATTATGTAAGTTCCAATCCACTATCTTATCACATCACTGGCAAGTTCCAACTTAAATGAATGTAGTGTCATGTTTTCTAACCAGCTCTCCTTCATTTTTCAAAGCCAAGGGGAAGCTTTTCTTTAGGCACGTTAGTGCATCAACAATCAAAATGTGCCATTTATTTTATGGGGAAAATATGCAGGGAGAGAGGTCTTTAGCTTGCAGTGACCAGACCCTTGCCAGTATGGAATTAACCAGTCAGCAGGGCATGTTCTTCTCCAAATTTTCTTAAATCTGAACCTGAATTAAAGTTAGTGAATGAGGAATTTAGCTTGGATTATCACATTACAAAATCCAAGAGTAAGGAATTTATTCTTAGTTATGCAGAATGTTGACCAGACCCCAACCTGACAAGCAGGTCTGAGGCTAGGAATCCTGTAGCAAGTAGCTCAGCTCCTGACTCCGCAAAGCTAGCTGCAAGAGGTTTGTCAGGTTTTTAATGGAATGCTTCCATTTGCCTGGGTGACTGTGGCTCCCAACATCAGTTTATTGATGCCACACTCACTCGCGTTTGCTCCTTCCACAACTGACACTCAGTAGCAGCAGTGTGTACTATCTATAAAATACACTGCAGAAATTCACCAAGGCTTCTCATGCAGCATCTTCCAAATCCATAATTATTACCATTCAGCAGGACAAGGATAGCAAATGCATGGGAATACCACCACTCTAAAGTTCCACTTCAAGGCTCTCACCATCCTGCCTTGGACATATTTTGCTCTACCTTCGCAGTTGCTCCCTAATGGCATTGTGGGGTCTACCTATACCAAATCGACTCAGTGGTTCAAGAAGGTAGCTCACTGAAGGCTGCTAGGGATGGGCAATAAAATGCCAGTGATAGTCACACATTGTGAGTGAGTTAAAAAGGCAAACTTCAGTATTGGGCACTTAAGGATTGACTTTAGAAGAGGGACCAGTGTAGATTTCTCATGATTATCCAAGTTTGAATTCTGACAGTTTGTTGTGGCCATGCTACTCTTGGTAGTGTTTCCAGGTGATCTTCAGGATGGAATATTGATTCATCAGACATGTGCTCTGGTTAAGAGATTTTTATGGTCATCACCAAGAGTGGAGGTATGGTCACACTATTGCTCACTGAACTGGCTGAGTTCCAAAGGAAATGTATAAACAGGCTTTGTAAATGATGAAAAATCTAAGATAAGAACAGCAGAATCAGTAGAACCTATAAGAGAAAAGAGGTTACAGTTTGGGTTTTCCTATAATATTGAGGTGCAATTGTCTATAGCTAGTGAAGAGGGCAACAGCATATTTCAGCTATCATTGCACCTGTTTTTGGTTCTTTGAACTTTTGATCAACATGATGATGAAAGTTTGAAACCCTTGGAAGAATGCTTGTCTTGACCATTTTG